CAGATATGGAAGTATCCAAAGAAAGATACACTTACAAGATTTAATACATGGAACCAGAGATACCAACTTATAAATGGGATTAAATAAAAAAAGAGAGATTACAAAGCATCGTTAAAGAAATTCCCAATGTAGAGGCAGTAAATATGATTTCAAATAGAAGAGACTATTAAAACATGGTACAAATTTTATTTTAAATTAAACAGTAACCTCAAAGAAAATTGATGTGTTCTCATCAAAATTAGGAAGGGGAAGACCATAATGATTCAGTCAACAACAACATAAGAGCAACGAAGAAAGAGAGGAGAAAACTAAACACCAAATGAACTCAACACAAAATTCGGTGGAAGAAACCAGCAGCATCACACACACACACACACACACACACACACACACACACACACACACACACACACGGCAAAATGAGAGCAACACGTCCACCCCTCCTGATGCCCCCTGCATGCGGGTCAGAGCCTTCAGTCCAGAGACAGAGAAGCAGAATGAGTAAGAAAACAGGAGCATACAGTATTGTATACGATATGCAACAATCGCACCTTAGATACAAAGTTAACCACAGAATGCAAACCAAAGGTTGGAGAAATAGATCAAGCTAATAGCAATCAACAAACACAGGAGTGGCTATAGTAATTTCTGATGAAATGCACTTTAAAAAACACGCAAAAGAGAAAGGGAAAGATATTAGAAAATAAAGTATCACCTAAACAAGAGGACACAGCCATAATATTTATTTATGTACCCAACGAAAGAACAGCAAAATAAATTAAACTTTAGCAGATATATACAAGTCCAAATTGACAGTAGGATATTTTAAAATAACACTTTCGATGAAGGACTGAAAAAAACAATAAAGATGCAGAAGAACTAAACAACAAAACCAACCAACTTGACCTCATAGACATAGAACACTCCACCAAAAACCAGAAATACCTAATTTACAAACAAAATTACATACTTTTCTAGCACATGTGGAATATTCTTCAGAATATACCATCTGTAAGGCCACAGAGCAAACCTGAATAAGTTTAAAACCAGAAATTTTACAAAGCATCTATTTCAGATCACAACACTCTAAAACTATAAATCAGCAATAAGGAAGTCAAGGAAATGATCAGATACATGGACACTGTATACACCCTGCTACCTGCTGTCTAAGGCCCTAGTCCACCTCCGGACTATGACATTGAAGACAGACGTTGGTCAGCTGGCTTCTTAGTGAGCAAGACAAGTAGGTAGCTCCTGGGTGTCTGCTCAGGTCAGTAGAGAACCCCCCATGTCCTCTCCTTACCCTGTTGATAGTCATCAACCCACTTAGTTCCATCACCCTCCTACAAGTGGGATTCCTACCAGTTAACAACAAGCTTACTTTTATTTCAAGAAACACTGATATCAATATAAAAATGTATCCACACACTACCAACGAGAAGCAGCATCATGTCAGGCCACCTCACCTATTAAATTCATGTACGTCAAACTTTGAGTCTGTGTGTGTGTGTGTGTGTGTGTGTGTGTGTCTAGAGACTGTTGCCTCCTGATAAACATGTCCAATGCACATGAGATGAAGTCTTGTCCGCCTCAATTGTTCAGGAGCATTCTGGCTGTATTTTTCACAGGACTGGTTTGTATTTTCTTCTGACTGTCCATGGTACTTTCAAAATCCTTTATAAACACCATAATTCAAATACATCAATTCTCCCATCTTATTTATTGTTCAGCTTTTTTTTTTAATCAATTTATTGGGGCTCATACAATTCATCACAATGCATAGATCAATTGTGTAAAGCACATCTATACATTTGTTGCCCT